GAATTTAAAAAAGGAAGATTGTTACAGATGAAAGAATTTTGACTAGTTGTGCTCCTTACAAAAATTCTTATATTCAATTAAATATTTTCAATAAATATTTTACTGTTATTATTTCATAACTATTTACGGTTGAGTAGACAGGAAAAAGGTAGTGGATGCTTGTACTAAGATATTTGTTTTGTTGTGCAAGCTCACAATTTGTTACAGTGTACATCTTATATGTCCACTATACCAACGATATAGGTGCACAAATACAGACTGTAGCCTGTCTGTCATACTATAGTATAGATCATTCCTCACTTGTCAAAGGAGGTTGTATTGACCTTTTGGTCATATTGTTCTTGCAGATTTTCTGCAGATTTTCTAGTGTATTACCAGTGAATAAGCTTGAAACCCCAGAAAGGAAGCCTTGACATCTGACACTTCCTCTTAAACAGAAAAATCTTGCTGACAACAACATATACTACAGACAGAGAAGTTTCACATTTTTGTTTGAAAGAAATGCGCTGCTATGTTGTCAAATAACATATTGCAATAACAATGTTTCACTGATTTGCTAATGAGATGCTGTCATGATCAAGTATCAGTTCTCTTTAGGGATAATCTGTTTTTTCCCCCCACCACATTGACATCAGAAACAACGTCATGTTGGATTTGTTCATTCCAAACAGAGACTAACATGACCTTTTTTTTCTAGAGTTCACAAGTTGATTTCCTTTTTTGGTTTTGGAAGTCACTTTGTTTTATGTTTGTGTTATAAATAAAACTCATAATTCATAGCTGATAAAACAACCCAAAATCTCCAAAACGATAAAGTTATAGGAGAAGGAAAAAGACTTTCTTAACTTGTCATGGAAGTTGATTTAACAAGACTTTTTAAAAGTATTTTAGATAATTTTAGTTGGTTTGTTCATCATAAAATTTTAGCACAATGTAAAAGCTAACAGGATTTTTCAAATTATGCAAAAAAAGCAAAAAGCTAAACTGTATGTCAGACACAGACAAATGGAAGTACTACAGAACAAACATGCAATGTCAACAACAAGGACAAATTCACTTAAAACATCAGTCTTTAAACAGCCCATATTGTGGAAACTGATTTTTTCTCATTTTTTAAATATAGTATGTACACTCTAAAAAAGTTTCAAAACATACCATTCATGCCCCAGTCCATACAGTCCATATAAAGAACTAAGCTGCAAAAACAGCCTCTTTTTGACTCAAAAGGTTCAACCTGTTTGAACCTGTTTTTATGATGTCACAAAAACCAACACATTTACATATATCCAGCTATTCAGCTTACAGCCCCACTCAATTCACAAATTATAAAGAGTGTTTCAGCCCATATACCAGTCTTGAAGAAAGATTTGGGCCCTGTAAAAGCAAGTTTAGTTTGCTTACGGTGAAGTTATTACATATAACAACAGTAATAAGTTGCTGTAATCTGTATTATAAGACCAGGTTTTATAGGTTTTATATAAGGTACAGTTTTATAGCAAGCTGTAAGTAGCAGTTAAAGGGGAATTTCACCAATTTTACATCTTATTTGCATAATTAAAACTCATTTAGAGTGGTTTGATGTGAAATAATCACATTATAAAGTATTCCATAATAGAAAAAAAATAGTGTCGGAATTATTCACAGTGGTGGTGAAAGGAAACCAGACATCTGAATGCCCCTAAAAACTCCTTCACAGACAGTTATTACATGAAATGGTTATATGTTGCCAGATGCTTGAGATATTCTTTTATGATTTTTTGAGGTGAGCTTTTGGTCTAAAATGTATTTTTAAAACTCATTCATGGTGGGAAGGCACATTCAGGGAATTGTAAGGCAAAGATAATAATTTTTTATTAACATTACATGGAAAAAGTCAGAAGACGTGTAGGTTGACTGGTCATTTTGGAAAGTATCGGAAATGGCAATATTTGTGCTGTAGGTATTGTGAGCTCTGGTTCCTGACACCACTACTGTAAATAAATCTGAGTTGGTACATTTCTCTACAATACACCATTTCACACAAAGCCACTGTGTCTTTCTTTAACATCTAAGAAGAGTCATTGCTACAGCTGAACAGTGCCTAATGAAACCTCACGTAACATCTCCATCTGCTGGTTGTACCAAAATATTGCAGGGATGGTTATTTCAGGCATCTGTGAACTGGCTGCTTCTCAAATTTCCAGTTGAATGGGTGATAAAGCAAAAATATAACATCATGATATTTTAAGACATTTTCACAAAACAAAGTTTCAAAGTGTTTAATTTTATTTTGTTTTTTAGTTTCGTATTTCATTTCAGTTTAGTTTCAGGTAGTTTTAAGAGTGCATTAACAGTTTAGTTTTGTCAGGTTCATTTTTAGTTTTTAGTATAATGGTAGTTTTTGTTTATATTGAAATGGATTTTTTCACTTTTATTGAATTACTGAAGTTAATGAGCACATTTTTTTGCTGGACTACCCAGTGGGCCAGCATGTTGAGAAACGTGTGTTCAGGTGTTACCTGAGACAAATAGTTGGTAATGGTATGCACCTAGATGAACTAGATGAAATGACTTTGCTGCCTGCATACTTAGGACTCAAAGGTAGAGCTAACATACAAATAATGAAAGAAAGCAGAGACATTCATTGAAACAAATCATAGGGCTAACAGAAACAACATAAACTAATCTATCTAATAATGGGTTCAGTAACACGTTGGTGAGTACTGTGTGTTTGTGTGAGCTTGGGCTGTGTCTGACTTCAATTGAAAATTCTCACCTTGCAGTAAATGCAGTTTTATTTAGCAGTGTTTCACTCTATTAGGTGAGGATAAAGTCATCAAACTCTAGTATATGATCAGTAATTTCACCAAAATTTGAACTGGAAAAGTATTTTAGTATGTCGATTGCTATTACAATTTAAATCCAACACACATTTTGTCAAATTGAGCGAATATCTCCTCACGGTACACTGACTGTCCGTTTTGTTGCATGCTGGACTGTGACTGTGTGTTCGTAGACAGCCTGGGCTCTGTAAAAGGGAAACCAACACAGTGGTTCAGGCCGAGTTACACAACTCTATTCCAGTCAATCGGCAACAAGGACCATTCGGCTTGTCCACAGGATGTGGGGGAAGGGAAGGGGCTGTGTGCTAAACACTGTCAAGAAGAAGAGATGGCAGAGAAACAGCCAAAGAGGAGAAGATCTGAAGAACAAATAATGAGAAAGAAGTTTTTAGCTTCACAGCAGCAATTGTAGCAAAAGTTTGCTAACCCACAACCGAGCTAACATTAGTTACATTCCTTGCTGTGTCGCTGTTCGCTCTAATGTAATGTTATGTTATTTGTCTATACAACGTTTGCAAAAGGGTTTTAGATCTGCCATGAAGATCTGCAAAACAAGTTTGCTAGCCCAGTGACTTCTGCTTTGGCAATGGGCTTTCCTGGATTTGGGGGGCGGAGCTTCTGAAGGAGCACTGAAGGGAGGGGTGTATTTAATTTGCTTTTGAGTTCAAATATCAACAATCTTTCTCCAGAATCGTATCCTCCACATTTGTTTCCTATAGAAGATGTGTTAACTTATTTTCACTTAGAAAATCAACGAAATGTCATTTGACTGGGGCTGTTTAAATGTGTATGTCACCATACCACTGTTGTCACCAGGTGCACAGATAGGCCCCAAGGAGGGTTTGAGGCCCTGCCCTTTTTTGACACTTGTTTGGCATGTTTAATAATTGCGTTTTATATTGCTTCCACCATTTCCCGTTCTGGAAGAAATTTCAGCATTTTAGGTAGAGACATGAGATTTCTGGGCTGATTTCAATCTCTCTCTCTCTCTCTCTCTCTCTCTCTCTCTCTCTCTCTCTCTCTCTCTTTCTATCTCTGTTTAAATGTATATATGTATTTATTAAATGTAGAAATTGGGAATTAATCCACCTAGATTAACAGTACAGAGAATTATAATGTTTATTTGTAGAGCATTACAACTGTAGAGGATGTAGTAAAATGAGTAAAATGCAGACTTTTTAGCACAGTATCCAGTGTTACCTAAACATTTTGCTGTTCTGGAATACAGTAAATGTGTATTGAAATATTGGTCACATCTATTTATCTATCCGGTCCCGCTAAAAAGTTTAACAATTATCTAGCAATAGTGATATTAGCTGTCTATGTCTGTCTTGGGTAAGACTCCTAATATTACATTTGTTTTCTGAAGCATGATTAGATTATATCTCTGGGTAAGAGCATCTGCCATATGCTGTGAATTTTTTTTTTTTAGTTTACCTTTTTTTGTGGAACCTCTGCCCTTGAAATTGTCTGTGCCCGGGCCTGAATGTCACCTTTGTATAGTTGCATGTAAAAGTTTGAACACACCCAGTCGAATTCTGCTTTGCTGATTTTTTTTAAGAGAAAGTATGTTAATACTTCCTACACAGAAAACACGTTAGCCAATTTTAGTGCACAATTTCTGTTGTTTATATGTTGGGAAAAAATAAAACATGAAATATAAAATGTGCCATAACTTTTGCACAGGCCACGTTTTATGTTTTCTTATTCTAATTTGTTAAATTCAGCAAATAAACAGTGATTGTGTATTAAAATGTACAGAAGTGGGTTCTCTGTAGAGGATGTGTTAACTTTTTCACTTAACTACTCTAACATGTGATGATAGGACAGTTTAAAAGAGAAAAGCTCTAAACCTCTTACCAAAGATCTTTTGCTAATATATGTTTCTGTCCCCATTTATGCACAAAGACAAGCTTTACACATTTAGTTTTATTTACATTTTTGTTATTATTTTTATTTACTGATTTGTTTTTATTATTATTGTTGTTGTTACTTGTTATTGGGACACATTAAACTTTCCGTGGTGCTGAAAGCTGCACAGGCTAAAAAACGTTTGCTAAATATATGTTCACATAGACTGCTAATCTCACAGCAGATTACAAGCACGCAAGTATAGATGCAAATACATGCAGCGAGTAAGAAAATTAATGAAACAGGCACACACATTTTGCAGGGACATGTTGTGTGTTGGTAGTCTTAGTCTTAGTCAATGTATTTTTTACTCTTTAAAGCTTTGTCTTCCTCTTGTATTGTTTCAAGCATGTAGTCATAGTCTTCTGTCCTGTAAAAGATAGTAGACAAAGCAGTTAGTTTTCACAAAAGTTTAAAAAACAAACCATTGTAAATTTTTTTTAATTCTGAAAGAGTTTTTACCACTTTTATACTGATGAACAAAACTGTTCAGTTTAAAACTAGGTCCTTACTTCATCTATACTTTATACTTACTCTATCTCTACACTGAGTGGTCCATGTGAGTGGCATAATAGTCCATTCACAGCACAGTGGTGTTTAATGACTTGGTGCATTAATACAGAATTAAATTGTTGTGAGGCGTTCATACAGTGGTGTGCGAAAGTTTGGGTGCCCTTGGTCAAATTACGTGTTTATTGATGTCCTAAGTGAAAATAAGTTAACACCTCCACAACAGAGAACACACTTCTGCACATTAAACTGCACATTTAATGCACAATTACTGTTTATTTACTAACTTTAAAATGTTGAAAAAAAACAACAACATATTTTAAAGTTTTTTTTTCCAGAATATGTTAATCTGTGCACTAAAATGTGCAGAAAATGCAATATTTAAGTTTGTTCCCTGTAGAGGGTGTGTTAACTTATTTTCACTTCAAATTTTAACAGAACATCTGACCGGGGCAAACAAACTTTTGCATATGATTGTAGGTGTGCGTTTATCCAGTTATTTACAACGTATTGACTATTTTCGAACTCAGCTCGGTCAATCAAATATAAGAACAGAACTGCCCATTTTATGCAGACAAATTCACTTTCTATATATCTATATATTTTATATATAGTGTATGGCCTACTGTACAGACTTGAATTTTTGCATGGTCTGTGGTGCATAAAAATCATCTATCCTGTGTTGCCTCACTTACTGCCAAGTTCCAAACTGCCTTTGGAATCAACATCAGCACTAGAACTATGTGTTGGGAACTTCATGAAATGGGTTTCAATGGCCAAGCAGCTGTACATAAGCCTAAGATCACTATATGCAATGCTAAGTGTTAGTAGTGTAAAGCACACCACCACTGGATGGTGGAGCAGTGGAAATGTATTGTTCGGAGTCATGGATCACGCTTGAATGGGCACAAATTCCCATAGACACATTCCAAAATCTTGTGGAAAGCCTTCCCATTACAGGGACTCTTAAGAGAGAGGGTTAAACCCTTAAATGTTAGGCTTTAGGAACTTCTGTGAAACGAATATATAAGGTATTTAGTTATGAGACTGAGGAACGAAAGTCTGGACCCACTGGTAGGTCTGTAGAGATGAAAAGGCAACTAATGTAGCATTTTTAATATCACTTTTCCACATTGCTACCAAGTACATCAGATTTCAAACCCTAAACCTATTCCCCTACCTGTCTCTAGGAAAAGGTGATTCAAGGGTGCGTGTGAATATGGCCAGCGCACGAAAAGGGTCCTCAACAAATATGTTCCGTCGCCCGAACCTCTGCGGTAATGTGGCAGAGGGTGGAGACTCAGCCCTCCGGCACTCGGTGCACAGCTGCGCGGAGGTCAGGTCACCCTCCTGAGAGCGGCCAAACCTCTGTGGAAGGTTGATGGAGGATTTGGGCGTTCGCTCGATGTATGCTTCCCGGCCGAAGCGGAGTGGCAGGTTGGCGTGCAGGTGCGATGGTTTGGCTGATATTGGGTGCAGTCGCAGAATGGTGGGTGAACTTGCTCTGCCGCTGGTTGGGACCACATTGAAAGCAAACTCCTCCATTTCTAAACTCCGTGGAATATCTTGAGTGTTCTGTAAACATTGGATAAAGATGATTAATAATGGATATAGACACTGTAAAATGAAGTCCATTTTCTCTGCATCATTTGCTTGCCCCCTTTACCCCATTCATAATGGTCAGTGACCACACTGAGCAGATATTACATGATAGTGACACGAACATGATAGTGACATATCAGTGTGTTTGTGTGTTCTGCACAGAGTAGATCAGTCACAGCAGTGCTGCTGAAGTTTTTAAAGACAAGTGTCCAGTCAAACAGCATCCTGTGGGCAGTGTCCTGTGATCACTGATGAAAAACCAGAGGATGACTAAAACAAACTAAGCAGCATTAGATGAACTGTTATCAATATCTGAACCAACAAGATAAGTGTGTCTAATAGAGTGGACAGTGAGTGGAGACAGTGTTTAAAAACTCCAGCAGCACTGCTGTGTCTGATCCACTTGTACCAGCGCAACACACACTAACACTCCACCACCACAAATGATCCACCACTGAAATAATACCTGCTCTGTGGGGGTCCATTTCCGAACATGCTGAATTTGGCAAATATAAATTTTGCACTAAAATTAGCAGAAAAATGACACCTGTAAGTTTCTTTCCTGTAGAAGATGAACTGATTTTTACTAAGAAAATCAACAAAACTATATGTAATTTTTCTGGGAAAAATAAAATACAAAAAATATCACAAATAAATAAAATAAAAAAATAATCACAAAACCATTGTAATACAATATCTTAAGCATCAGTGTATTCGTAATCATTCAATAAAACCACTCTGGATGACCTTGTTTACATTTTGACTTTGTAATTATGCAGAAATTTTTTTAAAAATCTGTGAAATTCCTCTTTATGAGTAAAAATCTAGTCCTTAGGGTTAAGCATATAGCAGGATGCACTGTAATACATTAAAAATTCCAGAAACAAACAAACAAAGAGTAATACATCTGTCAGTGTTTTTCTGAGAAGCAGAGTTGGACTCACCTCTGAAAATATTCCGTTTGTGATTCTGTTGGAGTCGTTGTCGCCAGTGAGTGGCAGCCTGACAGCACTAACATCCTGGAACAGCAAACTACTCAGGATGCCTAGTGTTAGAGAGAGCGTAGAGCAAGGCATCTTCTAATCTTCATGTCCACAGAGACATTTTACACCGTATTTATACATAAACACACACGTCCCCCCACGCACACAGATTCCTCACAGAACAGTCAGTGAACCACACATGCTTAATACAGGAGCTCTATATGCAGCTCCTTTTTCTCCAGTCACTAATTGCATTCTTTGGTGAGTCGTAGCAACAAGGGACAGGAGACAGAATCTCTTATTGCATTTTCAAGATATAAATTTGATGAGGTCCTGTGATGTGGACCTGTATTGTTTTTAAAGTGGAATTCCACCAATTTTTCTAAATGCATAATTTAATGGTTGAAATTTACAAACCCAGTTCCAAAAAGTTGAGACAGTACGTAAAATACAAATAAAAACAGAACACTGTGATTTTCAAATCTACTTAGATCTCTATTTGAATGAAGACAATACAAAGAGAAAATATGTTGTATCTTGTCAACTTTATTGTTTTTTGTAAATATATGCTCATTCTGAAATTGATGCTTCCAACACTTTCAAAAAATGTGGGATAGGGCAAACTTAAGACTAGGAACATTGTGAAATTTCAAATAGGTGATGCAATCATGCTTGGATATAAAAGGAACAGCCAGGGAAGTCTATGAGCAAGAATGGGTTGCAAAAATGCATCAGCAAAAAATGACATTCAGCATTCAAGGATTTTAGGCATTTCACCCTCTGTGGTGCATATCATCATCAGCTGATTCAGGGAACCCAGAGAAATCTCTACCCTGAATCTCTGTGCATAAAGGAAAAGGCTGAAAACCACAAATGAATGTCCATGACCTTCGACCTTTCAGACAGCATTGCATTAAAAACCAGCATGCTTCTCTGATGGATATCGTGACATGGGCTCAGGAATACTTTGGCAAACCGTTGTCCATAAACACTGTCTATTGCTGCATCCACAAATGCAAGTTAAGACTGCACTATGCACAGTGTAAGTCATATACCAACAACATCCAGAAACACTGCTGACTAGACTCTGGACTTGAGCTCATCTGAAATGGATTGATGCAAAGTGGAAATATGTATTGTGGTCTGATGAGTCAGCCTTTCAGATTGTTTGTGGAAATAGTGGATGTTATGTTCTTTGGGCCTAAGGAGAAAAGGACCTTCAAGATTGTTACCAGCATAAAGTTTAAAAGCCAGCATCTGTCATGGTACAGGACAGTGTTAGCTGGTAACTTGCACTATTAAAACTGAACACATTTCGGAGAACAAATGGTGCCTTTTCGGTACCATCTTTTTCAGGGAGTTCTATGTTTGTTTCAACATGACAACTCCAAGAAACATTCTGGAAGTGTTACAACAGCATGGCTGCATAATCAGAAAGTGCAGGGGCTAGACTGGACGTGTACTGAAGAATGGCACTGGATCAATCGGCAAATATGCTCCCAACTTTTTTGGAATGTGTCGCATGCATCAAATTTGGAATGAGCATATAAAATATACATGAGCATATATAAAAACAATGAAGTTCATATGGTAACACAAAATATTATGTTTTTGTACTGTTTTTTACAGTTTTTTGTACTGTTTTGTACTGCTTTCAATTTTATATTTCAGTTAATTCAATTTAAAACAGTTTTTAAAAGCATTAACCTCTTAAGATTTAGGAGCATTTTACATCAGACCACTCTGAATTACTTTGTATAGATCTTAACCATTTAGTTAGGATTTGATTGGTGGATTGCTATGTAACTGAGAGATAAGGACACTCTGCTTTCTCAAGGATTTTTTTGCTTCTTTGTGTAAATCACACAATCGCACGATACGATACAGTGTGCAAACTCTACAACATAGCCATGAATTGTTAGTGCACAATGCATCGATGCATTGTGAACCATTCATCGTAAAGGGAGATTCCACCAGTGTTTCAACAGTTCTGCATAATTGAAGCATTAAAAATGTAAATAAAGTCATTCAGAGGGTTGATGTGAAATGTGCCTTTCTAGAGAAACCTAGAAACAGAATTTCTCACAGTGGTGGTGATAGGAACCAGACATCTGAAGTGTTTTACTTCAGAAAATTATGACACTAAACGATTATAGATAAGCTGCCTGATGCCTGAGACATTATTTTATGATAGTTTTGAGATGAGATAAGGCAAAAAAGTACACAAAGAAAACTCAGTTTTTCAGATTTATCACTATTTTAACATTAACATATAAAACTGTAGCTTTGCTAGCCATTTTGGATGGCTCCTCTTACCACCACCATAAAGGAAATCTGAATTTCTCTACAATTAACCATCCTACATTAAACCACTCTGAATGACTTTGTTTCCATCTCAACCACAAAAATTGGTGGAATTCCCCTTTAAGGTGGTAAATCAGCTGCTTCGATTATGGATGCAGTTATAATTGATTATACTATGCATTCATTTATTTATTAACATTTAAAAATCTAAGAAAAAAAATTGTATTGTTAATACTGTAAGAATTATTGTTTAGTATTGTGTAAACAGTTCCGCACTCATATACGTTGTACTGGAAAACTAATTATCATACAACAATAACTGAATCAAAACCATGGTAAAATTTAAAATTTCATGATTCACTGCATCATTTCCTAAAGATTCATAATTGAAATTAATCATTGTAAGATCTGAATTTAACACCCCTAATTGATAGAACTGTTAGAACATTTGCTTTTCCTATACCTACTTGCATTTAATTTTGTACCTTAAAGAAGAGAATATTTGACAAAAGCAAGAAAGGCTGTGAAAGACTGCCTAAAAGTGCCTAGAATTCAGCACAAAGCAGCACTAGAGGAGACAAAGGTAGCAATGGAGTAGCAGTCGGTGAGAGAAGATGGCAGCTATTTGAAAGTGGAAAGTAAATGGATGAGAAGTAAAAAGAGGAGGGGGTGTAAGGCTGAATATGACAGACTGCTACCCACTCTCTCTTTCATGCATGCACACATAGAATAAGCAATCAGTTTTTAATTAGGGTAGATGACGTTTGATCATCGGCTGAAATTCGCTGAAAGAGAAAGGCATTCACACCATCAGTCCAATTAACCTGGCAGCATTCAGTCTGGAACAGATGAATATGTTTCTTTCAAGTAATGAAGTCCCTGCTTGGGGCAGCAGAGTTCACTGAGTCAGCCCTCTCACACAGACTGGTATTTTGATCCTCCACCAGTTATTTTTTAATTGCAATTTGTGTCAAATAAATATCAGTCCTTGCATTCTGTAGAGATAGTTTGAGTCTGTAGACAGTGCTGCTTGCCCATGATTCACTCGCCTGTTCCTTTATTCAGTACAGCAGAGTCATAATACAGATTTGTGAATGCTTATTACAAATGATTAGAAATGTAAATAGTAGACCTGTGAGTCAATGTTTTGGATTTTTCAAAGTGAATGTCTTAATTAACTAGCAGGCCTAAATTTTTCAGCAGTAATTTTTAGATGCGAAGCAACTAATGTAGTTCACTGATGTTAAAATATGCTATTATAGGTGACAAATCACATTAAAATAATTGTAATGACCTAGCGTATTGCACCTATCTTCTAAAACAAAGGAAGTGTCAATTGCACGATTGCTGTCTGCTATGTTTTTGTTTCGGAAAGAGGAAGGAAAAACAAGGACACATTAGCTGCGTGTTCCATTCGAATGATACGAAATATTATTTTATGCTTCAAAAAGTCTGTCAGTATAAGCTACGAAAGCAGAAACTGTTGCTAATTATGTATGAAGTCAGTTTCCTTTAAAAAGAATGTCATCACTTTTCAGCACTTATGAAGAGAGATGTCCAGAAAAAACTATGGCTCGCCAAAATACAAAGCACTCAAACTACTCTGCAGGTAGTATTTGCAAAACCTGGAAAAAGTGTCCCACGGCCATATTGTTGACATTCCATCAGCATAATGTTATTATAAGGTCAGTTTGATCAGAGGTGTTGATCTGTACCAAATCACTTATCACTTAAAGTTATATTTGAGTCCTGTTTATTGCCCATGATAACATATCTAGGCATCTATAATTATCAAATTACCTTGTAAATTGTCACTGTCCAAAGAAAAACATACATCTTCAAAAGGGTAACTTTATAGGAGAAGGCAAAAATGTTCTTTACTTTTAAAGTAAAGCCAATTTTTGAATTTTTGAAAAGTGATTTTTGAACATTCGCACTGGTCTAATCATCAGGAAAAATTACAACACATTTAAAGGAGAGTTGCCATGTTCAAATGATGTAGAAAAATAAAAATAGAATTAATGAAAATTATTGTATGCATTTTCGTTTTGTCACTTGCAGTTAGTGCAGAAAGAAGAAAGAGGGAAAAATAACTACATTGTTATTTATTTGAAGCAATGCTCTATGATGCATCAAAAGCTATTTGACTGCTAATGGCGACCTTTAGCCTGCTAAATGTGAATGAGTTACAAGGCATTTCAATGTACTACTAATCACCATTTCTTTTTACATTTACAGCATTTGGCAAATGCTCTTATCCAGAGCGACTTACAATTTGATCAATTTGCACAGGCAGTGTTAGGAGTCTAGCCCAGGGACTCTTACTGGTATAGTATAGGGTGCTTGCCCAGGCAGGGGATTAAACCCCAATCTACAGCATAGAAAGCAGAGGTGTTACCCACTACACTATACCAACCTATTTCTGTTAGCTAAAATGAATATATTTTCAATATATTTTAAAACATTTCTATAACGTCTTTACTCAGGGAGACTATTTTTTGTCTCTGACAAACCCTGTTCTCCCCTAATATGTTTATTATCATAGTACAAAGGGTTTGACTAAACTTCTGCAGCAATTGTGTGTACAAAGGATACTTTTCTTGATTTATTGCAGATGTAATCACATCAACCTGATTCTCCTATATGATTCTCCAGAAGGTGTGATGAATAAGTTGTGCTAAATTAGGATTATAAAGAAAGTAAAAGTGATCAGTGTAAGGGACTCTTAAAGAGTGGAAAGTCTTCATGTTCTCTGGAG